ACTGTGATACAGTAGATCTCCGCACTAAAAACACAATCCGTGCTGGTCTGGTAGTTGGAGTCTTTCAGAGCAGCTCAGTTTCTACGCTGGGGCGCTCCTCCTTTGTTCCAGGTTGAGCGGTGGGGCGAAGCTCATCAACGCTCTCGTCCGAACGACCTCACCTACACCATTAGCGCAGAATGCGCCTTGAAGTCGACTAGGTCTTGGTGCGAGTGCCGCACAAGTGACGCCATTCTCACTGCGTGCCGCGACATACAATCATAGTCCGTGTAAAAGATGAGCATGTGACGCAGCCACACGGTTAGCATTGCATTTTTCAAAATGCGTGAGGTGAAGGGGCGAAGTGGTAAGCGGCACCGTTTCCAGTCCTCCGAGCAAGAATCGAATTCTGGATCAGTCTTGGTCAGGGCAACCGAGTCTCCCGTTCCTCCTATGATGCTTTGGAAGCAGACTTATCAGGTCGACCTCCGTAAAGTATTCAGTACACTCTAGTTCGCTGCGGACGGTTGGGCGTGTCAGGCAGTATGAGTGTTCACACCGTCAAAGCCGTTCTCTGCCTTCTTGTTGAAACGCGCATGCGACAAAAAGTGGTAGAAAACGAGTAATACGAAGGATATGATACAGTATTGTCACTTGCCCGCTTCAACAACTGGTGGAGAACGAGTTTGGCACCGCGCCAAACGCAGCCGCACTGACACGCCCAACCGTCCGCAGCGAACTACACTATATGTCAACTTTATCATAGTGGCGCTTAGATTTCGAATGTCTGCTGCATGCACGGCCTTTTTTGACAGAGATTGATTTATGATAAGTGAGGAGTTCAGTCAGTGCTGTTCTTTGCTTTAGTTGCATGCTTGGTCCTTACGGTTAGCCTGGCCCAGCTCAGCCAATGGCGAAATCAGCATATTCGTCGTTTCCGATAAATGTAGTACGTCCAATGTGGAGCTTAATTGGCGGTCTGCGTTATGCGTACCTTACATGGCCAAGCGCCCCTCTAGCCACTGCTCCCCTGAGCCGCCCAATAGACCGTGTTCCCTCATGTCTTTCGCAATGTCGCAGTTTCACGAAGAGGCAGTAGAATAAAGAAGTTGGTTGACCTGAGGTTAGATCCATGATTTTATCCTATGCGTGAGGACTGGAAACGGTGCACTTCATCCGTCGTCCAATCATCTAATTTTCCCTATACTCCCGAAATTTCAGTAGGAGGTACGGTAGGGAGGACGTACAAAATTCAGAACCAGTTCAAGGAGTTCTAAAGGTTTGCCACCCTCGAAACTACTTGATTTTTAGGAGGACCTGACTGGAGCTGCCATCGGCTTGCTGAGACTTCAAGACACTTACCGATTGGATACGAAAGATCTTGCCGATGGACGTATCTACAACGATCAAGGGAATTACACATTCGACGGTAAGCCATCGTTTTGCTTACAGTAGCGCTGACGTGTAATGAACAAGCTCCACTTCCAACACTGTCAAAAACGTCTATTGAATTGGCTCTGATGGGCTATGGGACTATGGATTACTGCATGTATAACATGACTGTAAGATAGATCCCAATTTTATGAGATATGGTTCGGGATGTCGCAGCAGCACGGAAATTGGCTCAATACGCGCAATATTCCTTGACCCGTTGACTATGCCACAGTTGGATCGGGGCTTACTGTAGTTCTCTCTAGGGTATTGCTGTAGCCGTGACCAAGATGATATAACAGTTTTATTGGCTAACCTTATCGCCTTCGTCAGAGCCTGGAAAAAAAGTCAAAAATCAAAGTGAAACTACCCTCGGAAATCATTTCAAACCTCAGATAAGCTAGTCCCAGACCAGTAGGATCCAGAAAGTCATAGAACACAACCACAAACGACTCACCTTTAATGCACGACCGGTTCTTGTTTGAGACCACCGCTAAATAGACTCCCCGTCGGTGGCTTCAGCTGACCTGACCGCTCTACTTGATGCCGATGGCAACTGAAGCCCACACAGGTCAGCAAACGGGGCGAGCTCCCTCCTGCGAGCCTCAAGCAGCAGCTGATCCGCAACCGCGGGTATGATCGGTACTGCCCGACCCCACATTGTGTGACATGTCCTTCTGGGCGGGAGGGGGACTGCATGGAATCAGGTGTGATCTACCTGATATCATGCAAGAGTTGTGGGGATGAGTACATCGGGGAGACTGGACGACCCCTGTGCTCCAGGGTGAAGGAACACCTAGATAGCCTGAGGCGATCAAGACAAGAGTCCCCCTGGGTAGTCATCGGGTTCAGCGCCATGGAGGCGCGGAGTTTGAGGTGACGTTTAGGATTCTGATGCGAGAATCACAGACTTCGGCGCAAAACTTTGG